CATATGAGAGGCTGCAGGAGTCAGCAAGGGCGCTTGGTACAGCACAGGTTGAAAAGCGCATGAGTAGCTAGCTGTATTGAATTTATGCTTCCTGTTGGTTTCCCCACCTACTTGTGGAAAGCTGTCAGGGAGTGTTGGAAATAACAATCAAGTGATTCTAGATGACTGAAGCAGTGCAGCAGCACCAAAGCATGAAGCCATGAATTGCCAAATTTCAATTCTGTGTGAGTCACAGATCTCAGATTTTGGATGTATTTTGAAAATTAGCCCATTTGAAGTACATTGATTCAAAAAATGTTGCCCTGTGATGCACCATTTTGCCCAATTGAAGGTTACAAACAAACAAAAATTTCAGTAGTATATAGATTTTTAATTCCAGCCATGTGCATAAAAGGCTGTAAAGAAGGGGCTGAAATCTATGCCCTATAACCAACATTTTCCCTTTATAGCTAGTTCCTAATATGTCCCTGTTGCATGTTGAGTTTTAGAGACAAGATGGGATTTAAGCACAATTTAAGGGACGCCAGACCTAAAGGCCTGGGCCTGAGGTTGGCCATGGAGGGCTTCAAGGCTTGGTATTTCCTCCCCACACCTTTGAGAAAAAGCAGTCACAAGCCCTGTGAGAGACCACTTAGTGGAATTCTATGTTAGTGCTCAGGCATCTCTGAATAGAAATCTTTTCTCGGCAGCTAAAGTTGGTCAAAGGTCCCCACCTCCGCAGAGCAAGCTCTCTGCCCACATCTTCCTTTGCATGGAGAGAATGGCTCTGTTGCTGACGAGCCAAGAGACGTGCAACAGATTGGACACTGCTATCAGAAGGAGCATTAGTGTGTATGCGTGGGTGGGGGGAGGCACAGTGTGTGGGTGGCAGAGAAAGGAATGGAACTTCCGTAACTGCAAACCCCACAGCGATGTTTCCTGTATCACAAAGAGGATCCAAAAATAAAGTCATAAACTAATCCCAGCTACAAAGGAATGTAGAAATTTAGGATTGTAAGGAACTGAGGGTTCTTGAGCATTAGATGGATGTGCAATGAAAAACCACGATTGGGTTTTTGAGGGTATGGACTACGGAGTGAGAAGGGATGTACACATTTTTGTTAAATTTATAAAAGCATTTCTATACTGGCTTTCAAGATATATCTGAGATGAACTAATATACACTGCTCAAAAAAATGAAGGGTACACTTAAACAACACAATGTAACTCCAAGTCAATCACACTTCTGTGAAATCAAACTGTCCACTTAGGTAGCAACACTGATTGACAATCAATTTCACATGCTGTTGTGCAAATGGAATAGACAACAGGTGGAAAGCAGAGGCAGGTAGCAAGACATCCCCAATAAAGGAGTGGTTCTGCAGGTGGTGACCACAGACCACTTCTCTTCCTATGCTTTCTGGCTGATGGTTTGGTCACTTTTGAATGCTGGCAGTGCTTTCACTCTAGTGGTAGCATGAGACGGAGTCTACAACCCACACAAGTGGCTCAGGTAGTGCAGCTCATCCAGGATGGCACATCAATGCGAGCTGTGGCAAGACGGTTTGCTGTGTCTGTCAGCATAGTGTCCAGAGCATGGAGGTGCTACCAGGAGACAGGCCAGTACATCAGGAGACATGGAGAAGGCCGTAGGAGGGCAACAACCCAGCATCAGGACTGCTACCTCCACCTTTGTGCAAGGAGGGACAGGAGAAGCACTGCCAGAGGCCTGCAAAATGACCTCCAGCTGGCCACAAATGTGCATGTGGCTGCTCAAACAGTCAGAAACAGACTCCATGAGGGTGGTATGAGGGCTGGACATCCACAAGTGGGGGTTGTGCTTACAGCCCAACACTGCAGGACGTTTGGCATTTGCCAGAGAACACCAAGATTGGCAAATTCGCCACTGGCTCCCTGTGTTCTTCACAGATGAAAGCAGGTTCACACTGAGCACATGTGACAGACGTGATAGATCCATGCACGAGACGCCGTGGAGAACATTCTGCTGCCTGCAACATCCTCCAGCATGACCGGTTTGGCAGTGGGTCAGTAATGGTGTGGGATGGCCTTTCTTTAGGGGGCCACACAGCCTTCCATGTGCTCGCCAGAGGTAGCCTGACTGCCATTAGATACCAAGGTGAGATCCTCAGACCTCTTGTGAGACCATATGCTGGTGCGGTTGGCCCTGGGTTCCTCCTAATGCACGACAATGCTAGACCTCATGTGGCTGGAGTGTGTTAGCAGTTCCTGCAAGACAAAGGCATTGATGCTATGGACTGGCCTACCCATTCCCCAGGTCTGAATCCAATTGAGCACATCTGGGACATCATGTCTCGTTCCATCCACCAATGCCACGTTGCACCACAGACTGTCCAGGAGTTGGGGATGCCTTAGTCCAGGTGTGGGAGGAGATCCCTCAGGAGACCATCCGCCACCTCATCAGGAGCATGCCCAGGCATTGTAGGGAGGTCATACAGGCACATGGAGGCCACACACACTACTGAGCCTCATTTTGACTTGTTTTAAGGACATTACATCAAAGTTGGATCAGCCTGTAGTGTTTTTTTCCACTTTAGTTTTGAGTGTAACTCCAAATCCAGACCTCCATGGGTTGCTAAATTTGATTTCCATTGATAATTTTTGTGTGATTTTGTTGTCAGCACATTCAACTAATGAACAAAGTTGTAATGAACAAAGTATTTAATAAGAATATTCCATTCATTCAGATCTAGGATGTTTTATTTTTGTGTTCCCTTTATTTTTTTTGAGCAGTGTATATGCTGTTTCAGACAACTGAGAAGCTCTAAAATGATTCAGATTAAAAAAAAACCAAAAACATCCAGTTGGACAGGTAGCAAGCCAGAGTGTCCCAAAAAGTTTTAATAGGTAAAGAAATTTGGCATTTTTGGTATTGAAGTTGGGAAACTCTGAAACTGGAATTGTACAACCAGAAAATGAAGTAACTAGAAGAGCAACTTGCTCAAACCATCTGCTTAAAATAACGAAGGACACCTCCATTCCAACTTTCATCCAAAGTCACAGTACACAGTACCCCCCAAACACTTGAATAGTTCTGGAAAATGATGTATAAAATCCCACAAGTACCATTCCTCTCCTTGTCTATAGCAATATGGTAATATCAAATGACAATTTGGAATTATGCGCTATCAGAGAAAATGATTCTCTCTAAAAGCCAGTCCCTACTTCATCAAATTCCAATCATAGGTCAGTGTTGCCATTGAAAGTTAAAAGAATGAAATAGATGATAGGGAAGATCCATCTGCCCTGAGACCTTGAACAGCTGCCAGCCCAGGAGAGTTAGATGGCTAAATTTGGTGTAGTGGTTAAGGCACCCATGTAGAAAGGAGTTGGTGCAGGATGCCAGTTGGGGACCTTGGCCAGTTGCTCTCAGCTCTTAAGCAGACAGTGGAAAAGTACTTCCAAGAAAACTTCCAAGGAAAACTGCAGGGACTTGTCCAGGTAATCTTCAGGATTTAGCACTGACCTGAAGACAATCCAATTGGCACAAGCTAGTATAAAGTAGCTTTTATTGTTTCCATTATGGCAGTTACAATAACCAGTAATCATAGACATAATTCTCTAGGTCAGGATCAAGAAATACCTTTTCTGGTATTTAAAAATTACAGGCAGTCTTTCTCCACCAGTTACTGTGCACTATTAATGAAACAGACCAGAATTTACATACATACAATACGTGGCTTCTTCTGTTAAAGGAACCTTGTTCTTTTATCCAGACACACTACCTTTGCACCGTTTGGCAGAAGAGGGAAAATACAAATGTGTTCTCACCATCCCCCATACATTCAGCTCAATAAATAATGGATTTATAAAGTACTGCTTTTTGCTTTTCAAAAATAAAGCAGCAGGTCTCTTAGCATGTTTCAGTAAAATGGACGCTGAATTCAACGTAAAACAGGGACTGGGAAGCGATTACAGTACTTTATTATTAAAAAAAACATGTAAAAGTAAGGTAGATTGATTCCTGACTAACTTTCAGATAGGTACACTTGAACGCCCAGAATTTCTCAGCCATATTTGGTCATTGCTGAGAATTCTGGGAGTTGAAGTCGGTAAGTTGCCTTGGGTTGGAAAATGCCGAATCAAATCCTGTATCCCGGTTTGGGCCTCATAATATTTGGAACTCCTCATATGTCTCCAATGAATAGATGTATTATTTTTCTCAGCAACTCTCTCCGGATCGCGGAACTTTATTCCGTACAGTGTTAAACAGCACCCATAGCAAAGCAAAGCAAAGCAATAAAATAAAATCCAGCAACCCTGCCCTGAACTCCCCCACCCCGCGCCCCGTGTATACCCAAGGGTCCCAGTGAGCGAACCGACAGGTCGCTTACGACGCACATGCAAGCGCGCTCAGGAAAGGATCATCGCGCGCACACGATGAGCCTCCAGAGGCGGGAAAAGCGGCGACAGGGAAGGAAACCCGCTTTATTTTAAGTGCACGAAAGCGGTGCGCGTTTCACCGACACGGGGCTCAGGCTTGCAAAACATGGCAAAGAAAAAGCGGCAGGCCGATGATGTCCGTCCCCGGATCGACGCCGTCTCCTCTTTCCAAGGCGCGCAAACGCCCGCGCCGAAGACAAGTGGAAGAAATTGGGCCGATAAAGCGGGGGTGGGATGGGATGGGATGACGGGCGGCGGGCGGTGGTAGGAATCCTATACGCTCTTTCCTGCCTTGGCGTCTTGGAAGAAGCCGCGAGGAGGGAAGGTGGGCGGTAAATGCCGTCCCTCCCCCTCCCCCGGCGCTTGCGGTGGCGAAGGCTGTTTGATGTTGCTGCTGTTGCAGTTTTTCTGGTCCGAGGCAGAAGCTGCCTGCCGCCCCCGAAACCTCCCACGCGCGGCAGCAGCTCAGAGCCGCTGCCGCCGCCGTTCCATTGTAAATCCGGCAGCGTGGGAGGCAATTCAGTGCCAAAGGCTCAGCGCCGAGGCGCGCAGAGAGAAAGGAGGAGGAGGAGGAGGAAGCAGAGGAAGAGGAGGGAGCGGGGAGGCGAACGGGGGAGCTCCGACCGAGGGACGCAGAAGACCATCGAAGCCGGGCAGGGGTGCCGCGTTGGGAGCTCTGCGCCTTCTGGGTCTGCCTTTCCGCGGAGAGCCAGAAGAAGAAGGTGCGGCCGCCGGCGAGGCTCCCGAGGCCTCGGGTCCATGCTTGACGGGCACACCAGTCGGGCTGCGAAGAAATCCACTGGCGCGGTAAGATTGCCACGGGGGTGGGGTGGGGGGCGAGGAGAGGGAGGTGGGGTGGGGTGGGGGCTTGGAGGAGGCGCCGCGGACGAACAGGAGAGATGAGATGAGGAGGGGAGCGACTGGAAGCAAGTTATGGGGAGGGTGAGGGGGGTTCAAGAACTGCCAAGATGGAATCGGCTGCCAAACCACGCAGCTCTTCAACGAAACGCTTCTCCTTAAGAAGCTGCTCCGGATGCAAAATGGTGAAAATGCCAGGATATTCAGAAAGATTTCGGGGGTCGAGCTTGCTATTTGGGATTGGGGGGGGGGAAGCCACGCCCCCCACTTGGCAACCTTATTGGATTCTGCACAAGCTCAGATACCCAACCCATCTCTCTCAGTATATACTCCAGCCTGTATTCCAAAGAGTTGAACTCCTCATTGGGTATGTAGTCAGAATCTGTGGTTGTCAGCACCAAACTACCTTGTTAAATGAAACCTGAAACGAAATGAGAGAGCATTTGGAGGGTTATCATGGTGCACCCGGAAAAATTACACCTGCATTGGTATCTGAGAAAGACTAGGGTGCAGGGAAGAGTTTAATATCTTAAACTAAATTAACATTTGGGGGGGGGGGGAAGAGCCAGGATTAAAAAAACTTCATCTCTGAGCTTTCAACCTGGGATTGAAATACTGATGTTAAAATGGAAGGATGTTAAGATTATGTAGATCCTCATCAAACACCTAATCTTTCATACTTTATCCAGAAATATAAGGTATTGGGATTAAGAAAAACTATATTCCAGATAGTAAACTTAGAATTATAACTCTATAATTGCTCTCTGGTGCTTTAAATAATAATATAAGTAACTCCAAAAGATGATAAGCCAGTCAGTATTGTGTTTAAGGAACTTGGCTAATCACAGGTAGTCCTTGAGTTACAACCATAATTGAATCCAAAATTTACATTGCTAAGTGAAAAATTTGTTAAGTGAGTTTTGCCCCATTCTAACAACTATTCTTTGCACAATTGTTGCCACAGGGAATCGTTGCATTTGTTAAATTAATAGCATGGTCGTTAAAGTGGCTTCCCCATTGACTTGGCTTGTCAGAAGGTCGCAAAAGGGATCACATGACCCCCCAGGACACTGCCACTGTCATAAATATGAATCAGTTGCCAAGCATCTGAATTTTGATCATGTCATCATGGGGATGTTGCAGGAGTCCTAAGAGTGAAAAGGTCACATTTTTCAGTGCAGTTGTAACTTTAAACGGTCACTAAATGAACTGTTGTAAGTCAAGGAGTACCTGTACTTTTAATAGCTACCCTGTTGGCATCACCAGAGAAGACTGTCAAGAACTAAAGGAAGATAGTGAAGTTTGATCTGGAGAGTATCTGCCAACAACCCTCAGTTGCTGTTGGCCTCCCCAAGTTAACCAGTTAAGAATCATGACCAGATGAGTTAATTTGACTTTGTTATTATTGACAGAATCTTGCAGGTCTGAAAATACAATTCTCTCCCCATCTCCTTTACAGCTGGAGAAACTAGGGAGGGTCCCTTCTGAGCCTCTTGCCCTGCCCACTATCCAGCTGAGGGCCTTGCTATCTCTTATCTGACCGTTCCCTTGGCAGCATCCTTTCGCCCAGTTTCTCAAGGCTTTCCCCACATTACAGCTGCATTCTCCCATTAGCCCCCCTCCCTTCCACGCCCACATATCTCCCACTTGTATTCTCAAAATTTCCTCACCCGCTGTTTATCTTCAGCCTCTTCCAAGAAGAGAAAATAATGGCAGCTCTGTTGGTATCCATGGAGTGCCAACTCCACCCCAGCCTATTGCTTCACTATTTTAATGGTCTTGTAATAGATGACAGAGCCGGCACAAGGGTGGATAAAGAAGGAACAAGCAGTGGGCGTTTGGAGGAGTCTGATATGTGTGTGCATGTTGGTTACTAGGCCCAGCAAGTGGTGTGTGCAGAGTGTTTCTGGTTTGTGAAGAAAATCTAGGTTTTGTGTGTGCACGCATGTGTGCTAAAGGACAGAAGGTTGGTTGGTAGTACAAAGACAAAGACTTCTATGCATGGGGCGCTGTAATTGTAAGTCAGGGTAGTTTACTGTACTTGAAGATTTGTAATAAAAGAAAAACCCTCACAGTGCAGAGGTAAAAAACTGAAACGGCATACAAGAGCTTTCTTTTGATGGCAAGATTAATGTATTAGAGCTTGGGGTTGCAGTGTGGGATTGATGCAGAATGTGCGTCCCTAGTGAATTCTCTAGTGCAAGATCAAATTCTCCCATAGGTTAAAAAAAAAAAAAGCAAGGAAGAAAGCAGGATCTTAAAGAGTAATTGAAGTTTTTAGCAGCAGTCTGAAAATACGCTTAATAAGAAATGCGCCCCACTGAGCACTGAGTGGGATTTTATTCCAAGAAAGCCAAGGGAGGGTAGTGTTATCAGCATGAAGGAGAGGAGAAGAAAAAGGCCGGGGGCTTGTTTGCCTCAGGAATATGGAGGGACTATATGAGCTACAACAGTACACTTAAGAGGCCTTGTAGAAGGCTTCCCCTGCTTATTGTAGAGCCTTAGAAGACTCTTGGGCTGGATCAGATCCTTTCAGCCAAATTTGGGTCTGTTCATCCAAAGAAATGGCAGGAAAATTCCAGTGTAAAATATCTGCTTATATCACCAAGCCGTTGTTTCTGTGTGAATGGGGGCACAGGGTCAACAAGCAAGGGGGGGAAAGCCCCTTAATTTGTGACGACGATAGCTCATCCTAATTTAAACTTGCAAACTTAGTCCAAAGGAAATGCCAAGTATTTTCTATGGTGTCTTCTTTCTTCTGCCTGCCTGGCTATGGAGATTAAAGAGCAGCTCTGCCCTCCTTCCATTTTGGCAACTATAGGTAGTTCTCAATGTATGACCACAATTGAATCCCAAATTTCTGTGGCTAAGCACGGCAGTTGTTTAATGAGTTTTGCTCCATTTTATGACCCTTTTTTGCCTCAGTTGTTAAGCGAATCATGCAGTCGTTAAGCAAATCTGGCTTCCCCCGTTGACTTTGTTTGTTGGAAGCTGGCAGGGATAGGTTACAAATGGTGATCACATGACCCCGGAACAGTACAACTGCCATAAATACATGCCAGTTGCTATGCGTCCACATTTTGATCACGTGACCATCAAAGGTCATAAGTGTGAAAACTGATCATCAGTGGTGGTGTAATTTTGAACATAACTTAAAAAAAATGGTTGTAAATTGAGGATTACCTGTACTTCGGCCTTCATGGTCTCACTCTGTCATCCCTGCAGGCAATTGGCAATGGCGTTGTTGCTGCCCCGCACTCTGGGCGAACTTCAGCTCTACCGCGTCCTCCAGAGAGCCAACCTCCTCTCCTACTATGAAACCTTCATTCAGCAGGGCGGTGATGATGTACAGCAACTGTGTGAAGCTGGTGAGGAAGAATTCCTGGAGATCATGGCTCTGGTTGGCATGGCGACCAAGCCACTCCATGTCCGGCGCCTCCAGAAGGCTCTGCGGGAATGGGCAACCAATCCTGGTCTCTTCAACCAGCCGGTGCCCTGCATACCTGTGAACAGCATACCACTCTTCAAGATCTCTGAGTCCGGAGGCCACAAGTCACTCACGAATGGACACACCAGTCCAGTAGAGATCCCTGGCAAAACCAGTGCCACTTCGCCTTCCAAAAGCCCCTCCGAGCCACAAGAGAAGCTGTCCCCCTTGCCAGCCATGCAGTGGGGGAACCCTGAGTCTGAAGAAGAAGGAGGAGTAACCTCACCCAGCGAGCCCCTGTCATCCACTGAGCATCTCGATCCAGAGCTGGCCCATGCAGTGTCCGAGGGGGTGGATCGTCTGTTGCGCACCTGTCCGCGCAGCGGAGATGTAGAATTGAAGACTCTCCTGAAGCTGAATAAGAAGTTGGCCAAAACAGTGGGGCATATCTTCCAGTTGGACAACGGGGACCCTCGGAAGGAAGAAGAGATCCGGCGTCACAGTGCCATCTATGGGCGGGGTGAAACTCGGCGATGCGAGGGCAAACAGCTCACCCTTCATGAGGTGAGCCATGAGGGAAGGTACCACTGGTCAAGCAGAACTCAGGAATGTCATTTACTTAAAGTATTCAATAGGTTTAGCAGACTAAAGAATGTCTAATATTAATACTACTGAAATAATTAAAAAAAAACTGTACGCTGTCAGCAGGGGGCAGCATCTGGCTGACTTCATCTGGAAAGGGAAGCTAAGCAAGGGCAGGTCTGTTTACCACTTGGATGCGGGACCTCAGGATATAGTGGGGGAATTGGCCAGATTTTAAAAGTTTCAAAAAATATTGAATGAAGGCAACTCATTCCCAGATGACATGAAAAAAAACTGTATGAATATGCTGAAGTAATCTCTGAGAACTGAGCTTAACTCGAAGGCGGCCTTACTAGTGTAATCCTCTGTGTTAGCCTATACAGTGAAGGTAGTAATTTTGTTTTTTAATGATACAGAATTAACCTAAAAGTTTCTATGGAAAAAGAGTTTCACAGTTGTGGGACTACCAATCTCAAGAGTTTTGGATGAAGAACCAAGGAGACTGGGCCTTAGAAACTAACAGAGGATGAGCCCTCAGGTCTTTTATTCACTAACAGGAATATCCACTGATTAACTTAAGAGTTCATTTTGGTGGATCCCAAAATGCCTTATCCCAGATCAGAATGCCTCCCCTTCCTCTCCTCCTGCCCCCTCCCTCCCTCCTTCCCTCTCTCTCCCCTCCTCTCTCTTTTCCTCTCCTCTCTCCTGCTAATTCTATCTCCTGGTAATAATATCCATCATTCTCCAATTGTTCTCTACAAACCATCAAGGGTCTGTGGAGAATCACCTTCTCATGTTCACTGGCCAGGCTTGCTTCTCTGGCTTCTGCGCCACTTAGCTGTTACATGAAAATGGATCTTTAGTTGAAAAGTGATTTGTGTAGTCTATAAATGATGATACATGTAAGAATATAAATACCAACTTCAAGAAAATGCTAATAATGAACATACCTCAAATGCAGTTACTGACTGTGAATCCACACGCAATGTAATGACTGGAGCTGTCGCCTCAAACAGACAACCCAAGCAGAAAAAGCAAATATGTAATTTTTTAATCCAAGATCAGCATAAATAATGTTTAAAACTAGGGGATTATTGTTCTTCCTATGACAGCAGTCAGCAATCAGTCTATAGTTGTATACTAAAAAATAGTATACAACTATAAATCCTCATGCGACTAAAAGGTACAAAGAATTACTAAAAGTTATGATTAACATTAATATTGCAAATAATACATGGTGATGAACTAAATGTAGAAGATAATATGTGGTGTCATTAATGTAATAGAAAATATGATTGATAACTAAAAATGAGATGGTGACCTATTCATCCCTTTTCTCTTCGTACTCAAAGATTTCTATTGGAGAACATTGTTGACTAGTTTGTGTTAAGAAATGGGCAACATAAAATAATCCAAGCAGTAGCAAATATATAATTTTGAATTACATTTTGATACACATTTCATTTTAAAACAGGTTTAAAAATAAAGAGGATGGTGAATCTCAAATGAAACTAGTTTATTCACTGGTCCATGCTTTCAGAAACTTAGAGAATCAGAGCTTTAAATGCTTTATGCCTAATATTCTTGGAGGTCCTATGCTTCCTCAGAGAATCAATTCTGTTCACTCTTCTCTCCCAGCTCACAATTAATGAGGCTGCGGCTCAGTTCTGTCTGCGGGACAATTCACTGCTGTTGCGTCGTGTAGAATTGTTCTCACTGTCACGTCAGGTGGCTCGGGAGAGCAGCTATCTATCTTCACTGAAAGGTTCTAGGTAAGAGTCAGATCTTGGTGGTTTTGTTAGCAATGGGAGGTTCTTGAACTGGGCTGTAATCTCTTGAATGATTATTGTAAACCTGTTGGGAAAGTTCTCAGTGGGCAAAATAAATTACTGTTGATTCTAGTCATATCTTCATTAACTATTCCTTTCAGTCTATGGAGATTCTCAGTCATCCAGGTCAGGGTTGTCCCAGAAGTGCTTTTTCAAGAGGTAACGGGGCTGTCTGGTTTTTCTTTGAAGTCGTTTTGCTTCTTGAAGACATTTTTCATCAAGAGCTGAAGAAGCTTCTTGGATGAGAAGCAAAACGTCTTCAAAGAAAAATTAGAAATCCCAGTTGCTTCTTGAAAAAGCACCTTTGGGGGGTGACCCTTTCGGGTTACTTGAAGAAACCTGATTTCTTCAAAAGATTGGAAATACCTTTTGAAATGTCCCCCAAAAACTGGCAGATTAAAAAAAGAATTTTGCATGTATTCCATCTGACCTTGATTCCTATATTATGGAGCATGCTGTCAAAAAAAGTGCTAGATGTGAAGTATGCTAAATACAAAGTGATCTTTGCTAAGCTGGAGCTAAAATAAGATTTATCCATCTGTGTTAATTATCTGCCCACTAATGCTAATGAATACAGGTAATTATCCCAAGAGTATCTCAAACATCCAGAAAAACAATCCTTGTATTACTAATTTGCTATTTCTTTGCTTTTCAAATTGGTTTAACAAAAAAGGAAAAAAATCATAATCAAATGGTATAGGAATAATCCTGCATGAATCTTGACTTTTCATGTTTTCATCCCCAACTTTTTGTGTGTTTCAAAAAGCTCAAAAAATTCTGTTTTCAGTTTTGAAACCACTGTGTCCCATTAAAGCTGAAATTTGGAGCCTAGAATTTTTACATATTTATAATTCCATTATATAATTCCTGTAATTCCTTTTTATTCTGATGTTTTAAAAAGTAAATTAAAAAGTTTCTGCTTTGACTTTTGAACTAATTACTTTCCCTTTTAAACCCGAAAATTGAGAACTAGGATTTGTGCCCACTGATCACTTATCAAATCAGGATGTAAAATTGTAAGATCCAATCTGGGTCGGTCAACACCAGGACCAGATGTTTACTCTTCTGAGCTTTTGGCCACTTTCCCAGGGATTGACCCAGATTGGATCTTGCAACATTATCCTGGGACACTTCTATTTGTCTTCATGCATTTAAAATTGCACTTTGATACCATTTTGAGTACCATGTTTGGAATATATCTCAGTATCCTGAGTTGAGCAACCATGTGAAATTGCAGTTATTTCTGCAGAGAAAGATTAGATTTTCTCATAAATGTGAATGTTAGGACAGATGGAGAACCTGAGCCGAAGATTAACTAAAACACATTCTCATCATATGAGGCCATAGTTTCTTATGTTTAAAATGAGGGCCTATTTTACCCATCAGAATAAAGTGATCTGATTTATAGGTAGCCCTCGACTTACAATAGGACATTTAGTGACCGAATTTACAACAGCACAGAAAAAGTGACTTATAACTTTTTTGCACACTTACGAGCATTGCAGCATCCCCATGGTCACATGATCAAAATTCCGATGCTTGACAACTGACTTGTGTTTATGAAGGTTGAAGTATATCCTGGGGACATGTGATTCCCTTTTGCAACCTTCTGACAAGCAAAGTCAATGGGGAAGCCAGATTCACTTAACAATCATGTTACTAACTTAACTACAGTGGTTCAAGTAACAACCTTTGCAAGAAAGGTTGTAAAATAGGGTTAAATTCACTTAACAACTGTCTTGCGTAGCAACAGACATGCTGTGCTCAGTTGTAGGTCAAGAACTACCTGTATTTTTTTTATATACATAAATTTGTATATTCAGCCATCACAACGAGTGAATCATGTGAAGCATGATGAGTGAACCTATCCAGCCAGGCCTAATCAAACAGACAAAAATGTAACTTAGTGCAACAGACTTAGCCATTAATTTGTAGATTGATTCATTATGGTCTGTTTAAAAAGCTATGTTGGAGGAAGATTAAATTTCAGCTGGTAAACAAACCGTATTTAATATAACCTTAGTAAAAGATAGTTAGCTTCTGTGATATTATTAATGCTTTATACCAGAGTTGGTGAACCTTTTCGGCACCGCGTGGCAAAACAGGAGCACATGCAGGTGGGGGGAGTGCCGGAAACTGGAAGAGCAGCTCCCCATGTGTGCACCAGGAAGCTGGTCTTCCGGTGTCTGGCGTGCATGCACAAGCGAAGACCAGTTGGCCGGTGCACATGTGCGCACCGGAATCCTTAAGAGCAATGGGCAATGTTTGCCGTGCCCAGACAGATGGCTCTGCATGCCACTCCCAGCACACGTGCCATAGGTTCACCATCAAGGCTTTATACAGTAGGACCTCTGGTCACAAACGCGTCTGACCATTACCAAATGCGGTTCCGACCAAAAAATTCAGAAAATTTTTGAATCTGGTCCCGAACACATACTCGGGTGGTGATTAAACACAACCCCTGGCCCAGAAATGAAGACGAAACATTAGAAGACGAAGAAATCGCCAAAGTTATGGAACAAATTATGGTCGTGACCGGAGGTTCTACTGTATCTTTATATCAGGCCATTAAATTGTATTCATTCCAACACTCCCCAGGCTGCAAATTTCTGTAAATGCTAAATTGGGACAGGCACATGTCCTGGACAGGGTAGTCCAGAACATATGGAGGGTTGCTGTGATTGGGATAGGAGTGATTTCCTGGATATATTATTTAGTTGGACATGCTGACTCCTTTATGGCTTTTGTCCTCAGACTGCGTCCGGATGAAAATTGTGGTGGACAAGCTAAGCGCTTCAAGCAGGAGGTAAGTGAAAAAGATACATTATATGTGTATACACAAGAGGAAAAAAAAAGATAGAGAAATGTTTTGAGTTTTCAGAGAAAAATACTGTAGGGAATATGGCGATGAAACAATGCATTTTGCATGTCCATTTGGATCTTTTCTTCAATGAAGCAGAGGTTTCTCTGAGTTTCCCCCCCTTGTAATCTTTTAGTCTTTAAAGAGAGATCCAGATCGGGAAAGGTACTCCCTCTTCTCTGTTGCCTGCCGTGTCTTCATGTCCTGGATGATAAATTATGCAAAATGAGGAAGCTGTTTTCTCCATTGAACAGGATCAGAAGTTGAGCAATAGGAAGGGAGGAGTGCTAGCGTAAGAAGAACCTGCTGTTATTTTCATACTGCGTGCTAAGGCTAGTTTGGCCCTTACCTATTGGTCTGACTTCAGAAGACCTAGCAGAGGAGGACAATACTGATTTGTTTGTGGAGAGAGAGGCCACTCATTTTTGCCTAATTGGTGGCCACGTGGTTTTGTGTATGTGTGTGTGTGTGTGTGTCCCCAGTTCTCACACTTGCAGTATGCCTAAGGGCTGGGCAAAAAGAGAAAAAAAAATGCTGTAACCAGAATAATTCAGTTTTAAAACTGCCCTTACGTCTCATCTCTCTACCCAGAAGTTGGAGATAAGGATTAATTTAAAATTACCCTTCTCTTCTGAGTCCAGATAAGACCAGGCTAATGTTAGTAAAAACTGTTTTTAATCTTAGATCAGGGGTGTCAAACATGCGGCGTCACATGGTCGTCATGTGACATATCGCGACTTTTTTCCCCCTTTGCTAAAATGGGCGGATGTGGCCAGTGCATGATGTATCCGGCCCGCGGTCTGCGAGTTTGATACCCCTGTCTTAGATAAAGAATATGATAAAGGTGTGAGTCTACATATATTGGTGTATATGTACATTTCTGAATGGATAGTGAATATGTATTTATCCTGTATTATTCATTACACTCTGAATACGTTCTTCATTACATTTTATTATATGAACATTACATGTAGGATCACATTGATCCGTGAAAGTTGAGGAATCTAAAATTGCTCCCAGCCCCATTTCCAACCAGCTCTGACCAGCCATGGATCGAATGTATGAAACGTTAGAGTTTGCCTTAGTGTGGAGACAGTGTTAGTTAACACACGTACAATAGAAAACATCAGTTCCATGTCTTCGTTGTTGTACCGAATGAGACAGGCACATAATGCCTACCAATTTCTACCTGAAATTTGCAAGCATGCCCTGTAGCAATTTAGAGAGGGGGGGAGTGGATTATAGGGTTTGGGAAACAGAATGTACTTCTTGGCAGTTCAGGAGATCGAGGGTCCTCTTTAATGGAGGTGTTTTAATATAATTACATAGCAGTCCTGACAGGGAGTAGGCAGATTAGAAGGAAGCAGCCTAAAAAGATGAAGGCTGCCATTTCCTTGTGCACTGAACTCTAGCCAAAACTCACTCTCTTCTTTTTCTTTTTTGAAGTTCCAAACTCCAAAGTCTCCATGTTACTTTTATCAAATGCTTACCCCACCCTTCTAATATCATTTGTAACTAAACTGATTAAATGGAAGTTAATATGAGTACAAGTAAATGCAGGAGGAAATGTCATACTAATCTGTATGCAACATGATTCCAGGAAAGAAGTCAAATCATGCCAGCATATTACTTGCCATACATTTCAGATTGTTCCAAGATTGTATTTTGGGTGCATGTTAACGCAGTGTTTAATAACATTTATTGCTTGCAGTAAAAAAAATATATCACATTTCAGTTTTGAAGTTGACAGATCTCTTAGAGAAAGTAAAATTGGCAGGCAGGCATCTTCCCTTTTATTTTTCTTGGTAATTCTCCCAATAGGCTACAGAACACAGTCGCCCTGAGCTTCCTTTGGTCTGTGAACCCTTCCTTCCTCCATACCGATCCAGCATAGAAGAAGACACAGCCAGCTTGTCTGGGGAAAGCTTAGATGGACATCCGCAAGGTGAGTGCTCTGGGCTCTAGGGAAGTTTTCCGTGGGTATCAACTATGGAACCAGACTGTAAAATGGGAAATTATGAAGGAGGCTTTGTTTCTTGGTAGGCTTCACACAAAGCGCTGTCATTCCTGTTTGTAGAATCCATTTTGTCCCTGGAACAGTGATTCTCATACACTGCTGTACAAGAGGAACATGCTCAGCCTTGTGTATGCAGTATTGAATAGCACATGTGCATTACTTTAACTACAAGTTGGCTAAATAGAAGTTGCAATTTGTAGATTTTATTATGCCCCCCCCTTTTTTTCACTCTGTCTGGCTTGCTGTGTGTGACCTTGACATAAACTGAAGCATTATTCATTTCATTGCTCTGTGGAAGAAACCATGATTGGCTAGGATTGTACAGCATGCTAAGCCATGAATCATAGTCTACAAATCAGAATGACTGGGTGTACACATTCCGGAAGCCAAAACTAAACAAACCACATGGTAGTTTAAATATGACAAGTGTACCCAAACCAGCTTCCTTCAAGTGAGCTAATGCTGAGTTTTAATTAGATTTCCATAATTTAGTATGTTTTCTCTTCCTTTTTCTCTTTGTTTTTTTTCCCTCTCTCTCCTTTTCCCCTCTTCCCCTTTTATATACAAACATACCACTCTGTGTTTTATTTTACTATATCTTTGTTTTAATTAGTTTTCATAGTAGTCTTAATCCAAATAAACCCTAGCAGGGCTTCAGCAAGTAAATGAGCATAGCTTTACATTCTTACAGTTGTTTATAAATTGTAGTTTTATTTATAGCCTTGTAGAGTTATCTGTCCTAATTATTTATTGTGTTTAGATTATTCATTGCAAAGTTATAATGTTATTTATAGGTGTTTTAATAGCTCTATAATTTTAACTTAATAATTTTTTATTTACCCCAACCTAGTAAACTACGTTGACTTTTTCTTTTTACATAATTTTCAATGATGCAGTTCCACTTTCTCTAGCACTTCTGTGTTTTTGGTTTAGTTTGAAGACTGAGCAAGAGAACTTTATACAGGTGGTCCTCAACTTACAACCACAATTGAGCCGAAAATTTCTAAAAGTTTTGCCCCATTCTACGACCTTTCTTGCTACAGTTGTTAAGTGAATCACTGCAGTTAAGTTAGTAACACAATTCTTAAGTGAATCTGGCTTCCCCAACTGACTTTACTTGTCAGAAGGTTACAAAAGGGGATCACGTAACCACGAGATTCTGCAACCATCATAAATATGAATCAGCTGCCATGGTTGAATTTTGATCATGTGACCATGGGGATGCTGTAACAGTCATAAAGGTGGAAAAAGAGTGATAAGTCACTTTTTCAGAGCCGTCACTTCGAACGGTCACTAAATAACCGATTGTAAGTTGAGGATATCTGTACATTTTGAGAATAGAGGTGAAACAGGAAAAGAGAGAATACAACAAAACAGAAAACAGCATATCTCTTCGTTGTCAACAGCTACCTGTTAAATTAACTGTTCTTTTCAATAGCTGTCTAAAATGAGTAAACCATTAATGATTGAATTAAAAGAAAAAAACACTAAATGTCTTTATAGTTTTGGTGAACTTCAACTATATTAACTTAGAGACCCATTTATTTATTCTCTGATAAAAAGCAAATGTTTTTCAAATTTGGCAACCTCAAAATTTAGCATGCTGGCTGGGGAATTCTGGGAGTTGAAGCCCACACATTTTAAAGTCGCCGTGTTTAAAAAGCACCGGATTAAAGTAATACATCTTCACTTTTCTATGCCATGTTGATAACCCTTTATGGAAAACACACATTCTCTAAGGTTCACCTCATCCTCCAGTTTTTGTAGTCATCCTTTCCCTCTCTAAAAGACCATCTAGGAAAAAGTGTTGCATTTCTTCCAGGGAAGTGAGGTAGCGGGAACCTCAATCTGCCTTCCTGCTCGCTGTCTCACCTTTAAGTAACAACTCAGTATATTTATTTTCAATAACTCCAGAGTCAAATATATGCAGCATATTGGGAACCAACTTTTCCCTGTTACCTTTGGGTCTATTCTAGCTATCTGAAGCTTAGGACAAATTATTTGAGACCAGCATAAAGGTAAAGGTTCCCCTCGCACATACATGCTAGTCGTTTCTGGCTCTAGGGGGGCAGTGCTCATCTCGGGTTTCAAAGCCGAAGAGCCAGTGCTGTCTGAAGATGTCTCCGTGGTCATGTGGCCAGCATGACTAAATGTTGAAGGCGCATGGAACGCTGTTACCTTCCCACCAAAGTGGTCCCTATTTTTCTCCTTGCATTTTTACATGCTTTCGAACTGCTAGGTTGGTATAAGCTGGGACAAGTAACAGGACCTCACCCTGTTACGCGGTGCTAGGGATTCGAACCGCCGAACTGCCCATCGACAAGCTCGGCGTCTTAGCCACTGAGCCAACATGTCCCACGAGACCAGTGTACTACTGATTTAATACCTTTTACTTAAAGGCATGTCTCTCCCCTCCTGATTTTTTCCCCCCACAGCTACTGGGTCTTGTCCTCGGCTTACGCCACCCCCCCACACTGCTTCTGATGGCCTGCTGAGTCTCCCTCCACATGGGTTATGGAGCCGTCACATTCTACAGCAGACACTGATGGATGAAGGGCTGCGATTGGCCAGGCTGGTGTCCCACGAGCGAGTGGGACGGCTTAGTCCATGTTTGCAAGGAAAACCCCAGATGCCTGGTAAGTAGCTGCTTTCCATGTTGTTGTTGTTGTTTTTTGATATTTATTTTACTTATTTATTTTATCTTATGTTGCAAGTAGTCCTCAACTTACAACAGTTGTCTTAGTGACTGTTCGAAGTTACAATGGCACTGAAAAAAGTGACTTATGACCATTTTTCACATGTATGACTGTTATTCTTACATATGACTGTCATGTGATTTTCATTCGGGTGCTTTACAACTGACTCAGATTTACGGCGGTTGTGGTGTCCTGGAGTCATGGAATCACCTTTTACGAACATCTGATAAGCAAAGTCAATGGGGAAGCCAGGTTCACTTTACAACCATGTTCCTAACTTAACAACTGCAGTGATTCACTTAACAGATGTGTCAAGAAAAGTCGTAAAATGGGACAAAACTCACTTAACAAAGGTCTCATTTAGCAACAAATTTTGGGCTCAGTTGTGGTCGTATGTTGAAGACTAGCTGTATTTTATTATTTTATTTATTTTTATTTAATTTAATTTTAAGTTAATTATTTTATTTATTTTTTATTTTATTTTTTAGATAAATTTGCTGTCCACATTGCTACAAGGTGGCTCTAGTTTGCTTACAACATTAAAAGCTATAAAAACACAAAACACAAATATTTCTAGAACCATAGAATAGAATTACAATCAAAAGTAAAAAAAAATTTAAGGAGAGGGAGCAGCATGCGCAGGAGGAGAGGTGTGGGATTTTTCTCCTAATCCACTAACTATAGCATGATACTCCCCCATTTGGAGGCCCAAGCCAGCTGGCTGAGCCAGGTGTTCAGGCCCTTACAGAAGATCAGAAGGGAGGGCAGGAATAGCAGATCTCACTTTGGGCAGGGATAAGAGGTGCTAAAGTGCAGGAGCTACAGCAGAAAAGTCTCTTCATGCTTCATTTGAAATCTGATGGGCAGCTGCGATGGCAAGAGAACGTCTGTCAGTGCTGACACAATAACATTATCAGACAGCCTGGCAGGAGCAAAGGATACAGTTGAGGATGAGGAGAGCTACTTTCTCTATCTTTATGAAGATCAGGTTGCATAACTTTGGGGAAACACGGTCACCGTTTAGGTAAAGGCCAAAGCTACTAATTTTCTTCAGGGAGCAGATTGGGAAGCTTGTAGAATAGAATAGAATTCTTTTATTGGCCAAGTGTGATTGGACACACAAGGAATTTGTCTTGGTGCAAATGCTCTCAGTGTACATAAAAGATACAGTCAAGAATCATAAGGTACAACACAATGATAGTCACAGGGTACAATAAGCAATCAAATCGTACTAGGAATATGTAGAAATATGTAAGAATAGTATGTTGGTATTAAAGAAACTGAAATAATATTAGAGGAGGGGAAGGGGGGTGGCTTCTGTTTCTGAAAAGATTTATTACCAAGTTGCCAAAAATAAAGGTTACTACTGGATTCATCCTGCAGTTGTGTTCCTGGAATATGGAAAAGAAACAAATTGCATATGATTCAGAAAAGGACAGCTTTGTCGGCTTTAGTGAGACACAAGGCACTTTTGGGAAACTCAATGTATGCTGTTCAGAAACCAAGGAACAGGATTGCGACCCAAGGCAACTTGTTGTTTCTGGTTTCTTCCCAAAATGTTCTGGGAAAAGGCTGGAAGTACTAGGAAAAGACTATTTATTATGAGACTATTATGACATACAGTTCTAATTTTATTTTTAAGTTTTGTTAGTTGACTTAAGTCCTCTTCAGATTCCCAAGGCGGGATAGAAGTTGGAGGGAGAAATACATAGCAGACAGATTTACATGGACTTCATTTTGCTGGCCTGTCAAAGTGGAAGTTTAGGCTCTGAAAAATGGGAGAAGTCATATTCATCACAGGATATCTCAATTGTCTTACACACACACACCCAACATCAGTAGTCCCTTATTAGAAAAATCCTTGCCCAGTTGTTTTAATTTTCTTGATAATTAGTCTTTAAAAATATCAATATGTGGAGTCAAAATTTTTGCTAAGGCAAAGGCTATCCAAGAGAACTTGATCCAGTAGCCATTTGTCATGTCCCTGTTAGAATCTGACTCCAAGGAAGAGGAGGAACAGCCAGCAGGGAGTGGACGTGTGGCTCTGGAGGTTGTGGAGGAAACTGGGGAAGGGCACAGGCCGGCTGAGCATTCAGAGGAAGACCTAGGCCATCCCCTCTTCATCCTAGGGCATGCAGGGAGGAGCGGATAAGGGAGAAATGTGAATGGCGTGATCTATGGGAGAGGAAAGGGCCTTGATCCCCTTCATGGGCTGCAGCTGTGAGGACTGTTTAAAAGGACAACTGCACATGGGCCAGTGCTGGAAGCAAAGCGTGGAAATATTTCTAGTCTGTCAGTTCTTATCTGAGTTCTGGCATCCTTCCCAGTGTGTGTATTTTGATATCTGTGGATGTCTTCAAGCCCTTATCCTGCCTTGTTTCATTAATTTTTCAGTGTGGTTTGTGTTGTTTTTTTTCTATTTATATGTATTTTGAGTTTGAATGGAATTTCTTCTTTTTCGCAACTGTTTGTGGGGGAGTTTTTTTTCTCCAGTCAATGATAATTGGACCTTTAAAGCCAAGTTGAAGGAATTAAAGGGATTTCACCTGTTTTTGTGACTTTGTTGCTTTTGTATCCCACCCTGGGTCATCACACTGTTGGAGAACAACAAAAAATGAAAGTTGGATTTCTTCAGTGCTCAAATAGGAAACCTATAGAACTGTTTTTCCTTGTATCGGATTATGACTGCTTTGAAATGGATCGCGAAATCTTAACTTTTGATTTCTGCCTCTCTTTTTTTTAGAGTTTGGGGAAACTCTTCCTGAGCGATGCCAGCCTCCAGCAGCACAGCCTGAGGCCAGAAGAAACAGCATTAAGGTGGAACCAGACACCAGCCGGCAGTGAGAAAAAAGGACTGACATGCTCAGCCATTAAAGCAATAATACTCCAGCCAGCTCTGACCGTTAGATAGGGGGGCTATCCTCTGTATCACCCCCTGCCCCCCAGGGAGGCCTGTGGGACTTCCTTGCAAAAGACAAGCTGTCATACTAGCACAACCAACTCTTCACCCTGTTCCCTTCATGAAATGGGGAGCATGCTTTGGCTCACAAACCGAAGAGCATGGACCCACGGACGGGCAAATGACATAGGAAGGAAGCCTGCCATTTTAATTTAACTCGGCACAGAAGGGGGTGGCTACAGTTGATAGCATGAGCTCTCAGGTAGACCGAATCTCCAGCCCTCTGATGGACTAATGGAAGGTCATACTTACCCACGGCCTTTCCTCCCGTGCGAGATTTGAAACCGAGGGGTACATAGCCATTAAAAAAAGCACATAAATATCCTGTACATATTTTATTGAAAGGCGTATAAGTGATTGGCCATAAACAATACATCTTGTTCCCAAATTGTCTCCAATACTCCCGTACTCTCAACCACACGCATACACATGAAACATGTTTGTCGCTGCCCTTCAGTCTTTGTCACAGATGTTTCCTGTACGCGCTGAACCTGCATCCCCAGGATTGTTTTAGCACACACACCCTGCAAACCATTTTGCAAATTGCCATAGAAAGGATAATTCTTGATGTGACAGAAGGAGAAAAAACTGTGTCAAAGACACCAGAGATTACTATGCTATCTGTATAACTAAGCAAAATGTGTAAATTGAATTAAATTCAGTTTTTGTCTCCCCTCCCCTCCCCTCCATTGGAATATGGTCCCAGCAGTCACTTTTAAGTCCAAGGATGGTCCTCAGATCAGGAGAACTGGGGCATGCTGAAAATATCCTCATGACTGTTCTTGCCTGCTGATTTTATATTGTGGTGAATCACCAGATTGCTGTTCAGCTGGATTTGGAATGCTTGGAGGTATTTTGTTTCCTAATGGCTCTAGGGCGGCTAGAAGTTTACCCCATTAAAAATAAGAATTGAACGGCTGCCGCCTGGATGGTGCCAGCTGGATGGTGTACAGCTGCCAGCTGCACACTAGCAACAACTGCCTCCACACTAAACTGCATCCCAGCAGCAGTTTTAATTTGGGTACAGGTAGTCCTTGACTTACGACCGTCATGGAACCCAAAATTTCTGTTGCCCAGCGAGACATTTATTTAGTGAGCTCTGCCCCGTTTTATGACTTTCCTTAACACATTTGTTAAGTGAATCACTGCGGTTATGTTAGAAAAACAGCTCTTCGGTGAATCTGCCTTCCCTATTGACTTCGCTTGTCAAGAGGGTCTCAAAAAGGGATGACATGACCCCGGAACATGTCATAAGTACGGAATAGTTTCCAAGCATCTGAATTTTGATCATGTGACCTTGGGGAATGCTTCAGTGGTCCTACGAAAAACGGTTGTATGTCACGTTTTTCAGTGCCGTAACAGTCACTAAATGAACTGTTGTAAATTGAGGACTACCTGTATTCTATCAAAACCATTAATGCAGGGGGGGTGAATTAATATCAGAATCCATCCCTTTTCTACCAGAACACTTTGAATTTATAAAGGATCTGACAAAGGGGCGGAGAGGGAGGCCTTGCTGAGAGTCAGGTGGTGGAACATCATTCTCTCTCAGTACTACCTACTCATTTCCTAAGGCTTCTCGCTCCTATTCTCAGAGTTATTTATACAGGTAATCTCAATTTACAACCACAATTGTGACCAGAATTTGTCTTGTTAAACAAGGTAGTTGAATGAATCGTGCCTGATTTTACAATAGTTTTTGTTTGTCACAGTTGTTAAGCAAACCACTGCAGTGAAGTAAATCCAGCTTTGTTTGTTGGAAAGCACCTGGGTAGGTCACAAGTGATGATTATGTAATGCCTCCTCCCCCCCCCCCCATGCTGCAACCATCAAATAATATGCCGGTTTCCGAATGCCAGAATTTGGTCATGTGACTGGGGATGCTGTCACAGTTGTAAGTGCAAGGACTGGTTTTGTAAGTCATTTTTTTCAGTGCCATTTTAGCAGAAACGGTTGTGTGTTGAGGATTACCTGTACTTTTCTTCCTTACCACTTCAAATTCCTGTAATTGGGAAAAGGAATGAACAGCAAAGAGGAAACCAGTGCCATCATAGCGAGAAGTAGATGGGCTGATCTCTTTAACGACATGCAGAAAATGGAAGATCCTCCATTTTGGATCTTCCATTTTGAAGCAATTTCATAGAAAGTAAAATCAGCTAATGAAAAAACTACAGGCTTTTGTAAGTCTGCAGGATGAATCTCTTACTAGTTTCAGGTTCGTGTCTGACCCCCCCCCCCCCCCCCACACACACACACACCTCGACGGTTTGGTATATATAGTAACTGCTGTATTTGCTGAGAATGGGAATCGGAAGAGATATTTCTGGAGAAATCACCTGTTGAGAGGAACAAGTTGGATTCGGTGCCCTTAATAAACACACATGTGAGAGGAGCAAATTATAATTAAATTTACTGCTCTTAAGGCAGAGCTGTCAAACTCGTGGGCTGGATGTGTCATGCGCTGGCCACACCGGTTTAGCGAAGGGGGAAATGGCAGTATGTCATGTGATGACGCCGTGGTGACACGAGTTTGACACCCCTGCTCTAAGGGAACACTAACTTTACAACTCTTATTTGAGGGAATAGGGGAGAGCATTTCCTAACAAGGCTTTCTCAGTGGTATAGTCCTGTTTTTGCCAAAGAAATGAATGGGGAATAGGGGTGATGCTGAAATTGAGAAAAGCTTAAAAAGAAGGAATTGTCTGGCTCTGGGACAGGAGAGAATCTGTTTCCCCATCAGGGATTGTAGGAAAATAATGTTCTTCCATTCTTTTTTGCTCATAATTACAGCATTACAGTATGAGATAAAGATATTAATCTCCTTCAAAGCAGTCTGAAAGCAACATTTTCTGGAATAAACTGACTTGCAAAACACAAATTGTTCAGATAAGCCTTGGAATTCCCATTGAGTTAAAATTAATACTTAACTGCTATTAAGTCAAATCCCCATCTCCTACCCTACAGCCTTTGTGTCTTTATAGGAAAATTAGCATCCTTTCATTTGTAATGTATACAGTAGATTATTTATTTTGTTATTTTGGAATAAAGTCTTACTTTATGCGTTATTTTACATTTCCCCTTTTACCAGGATCTTGGCAAATAAGAATAGAGTCTACAACAGGAAAGCTGGTATAAAACGTTGGGCTGTGCCAGCTGATGATATAGGGGAAATCTGAATTTTACATTATCCTACCTGGGAAAAATGGCACAGGTGTTACAGTCCATATCTCAAGAGCCCCAAATTAACGATCAGGAAAAAAAAAAGTTGTAAAGAATTTAGGCTCCATCTATTGTAAAGGAACTGCAAGTTGGCAAAGCTGGCCCAAAGTATTTTGCAGCTGTTTTGAGTGAAAATTGAATCCCTCTCCCCCCCCACCCCCTCCAAACGGGATAAAAACTTGGTGAGAAGATTGCATTCACCACCATACCTAAGCAGTAGGTTAGTTTGGCAAATTGGCAAGGCAAACCATGTGACATTCAACACCTCCCTGCCATTGCTCTTGTTTTGGGCTGAGATGGTCGCCTCACTCTGCCTAACAATTCTATATGATAGGGAGAAAGGCTCTGTGGAATGTTAAATTCTGGGAGGCAGCAGTCTTCCTCCAAAGGAGAAATGAAAAATAATGAAGGCTCCATTGGAATATTTCCATTTGCCCAACTGACCCCTCTAAATACACGAAAGAAGCGGCAGCCCAATCAAGACCTTACCTACATTAGTTAAACAAAGAAATTTTCTTCTGAAGTTCCTGATGAAATGTTTTCTGTCTTGGCTGCTGATAATGATAAAAGTCAATCTAACATGCTATAATTGGAAAACCACCAACTCTCCCTTGTGATCCAGAGGTAATGCAGATAAGCAGTAAAACACATGGGTGCTAGTGCATCATGTCTGTCCCCCTTCCCCCAGACATTATTGCCCACCGAAAGGGAGATGTGTGTGAATGGGAAACCCTCTCTTGCTCCATTGGCTGCGGTGACAATATAGGCGGAGCTATATATCATGGCATGTGCCTGACTTAGCAGACAACTTGAGTGGGTCTTGGTTCAAAAGAGCTTGCAAAGATGTAACAGGATGAAGTAGATACGCAGATGGGCCCAGGAGTAGTTTTCTGTACACGGTAAGTCTTCTGGGTTACCAGCTATCACAGTTGATGTCCAGGCTTGATAGGGAGAAGTACATCAAAGGTCCAATAAAGCATCTCCAAGGTATGAGAGCGAAAGATGACAAGCACATAAAAATGAGTCACACTGGATTATGGCAAAAGTGAAGGTCCGGATGCAGGTCTTGGTCTGGATGCAGAAGCTTTTCAAACTCTTCACTGGAAGGTGGGGAAATAGTCTCAGGCACCCTGGGGGGTGGGGAGAGAAAAAAAACAGGCAGTGAGCAAGCAGATTTGAGTAATTAGTTCTCACGAAGCACCTCACAATCAACAGGCAGGATCATGCCATCATCCCATTATATTTCCCCTCCCAAATTTCTTGGCTTCTGGCCAAGAACTTGCCTGTTTGAATCCAGCTACACTGTTCTGACCCAGGCTTCCTAAACCGTAATCACGCACAAGCTTATTTTAAAAGCAAAACTTATTTTATTGCAACGCTGGGAATTGTTTTCATTCCCAGCCGGAATTAATCTCAAACCGTCCCCCAAGATAAGCACACACTTTTCAGTTCTGTGAAGTGCTGCAAAAGTGTCGAATGACTAGAAAAGAAACCAACCAAAGTACAAAAAAAAACCCAACCAAAGTACAAAGAGCTTCAAGGATGACTCTGAACTGATCGAACTACTTTCCTTCCTGCAAAGGTTTCGTCATCTTGGCCTGACTTTTATACCTTATGTGAGGGGCAATCCCTTCCCAGCCTTACTCCCGAGTCGAACCCTTTTGTTTCAGCTGCTCTCGCCTTCTAGCAGCTCTGTGCATATGCGCACTGGAAACGGGCTCCCCTGGGTCCTCTGCCTTGCTGCTGCCAGACTCCAAAGGCTCTGAAGGCAGCACCCCACACTCCCAGATGGTCCTAGCCCCATCTCTGCATCGGACACAGGACCCTCGTCTGAGTCCTCTCCAGGCTCCTTGACTGGTTCTTCCCCACTGTCTGATTCTGCCGCTGTCTGCACCGGCTGCTGGTGAACCACAACATTCGCACCCCATTTCAACCATTCCATTTCTTAGCTTCCTTGGCTTATCACTAGCCAAAACAAATTGCATCAGTCCAACATCTCAAAAGGTGCTTTTTTCAAGAGGCAACTGGACTTTCTCTGGTTTTTTTTTCTTTGAAGGCGTTTCATTTCTTCTTCGCTCAGAGCTGAAGAAGCTTCTTGGATGAGAAGCGAAACGTCTTCAAAGAAAAAAAACCGGAAAGTCCAGTTGCCTCTTGGGAAAAAAAAGCACCTTTCGGACAACCCTGACCTGGATGACTGAGAACCTCCATAGACATCAGTCCAACAATTATCATGCTCAACTTCTACATTGCGCTATCCCATTTTACTTGCCATTCAGTGTCTACTACTTCATTCTCAATAACTAACCTCAGCAACACGTTCCTGGCTGTCTACGCATCAGAAACTCAGGACATCGATAGTTAAACTAATTTGCTTGGCATTTCCATCAACTTAGAAGTATGTCATCCTTTGAAAGGCTGGTTAAAGTAATCAATCTGATAAAAGGTTGCCTATCTACTATAATTTCTGGGGATTCTGGAGGAAACAATGACATGCGTTCAGATAAACCCACAGGAAGAAAAAGCAATATTGCAAAGCCCCATCGTGATAAATGTCTCCGCCTTTATTTCCCCTTTTCAACCTGCAAGATGCCATTGACACTCACCTTAATGGGTCTGCCATCACATGGAGCTGAAGATTCCCAGGGTATGTTATGGTGTTCTCAGTGGGCATAGAGAGGTCCGGCATCTCTACATCTGGGCATAAGGAGTATGAATCCACTGAACCAAGAGGTGAAGCATTGCCCAAAATTAATTCACTGTGAGAGGAAAGAAATGTTGGTCACAATGCAGCTCTAGAGACTGAAAAGTGGAATAGGATATCCTGACATTGCTAGTATCAACTTAAAATCCAAAGCCAATTGACTACTGAGATAGAAAATGACCCTTTTTTGCTCTCTAGGTAGTTTGGGTTGATTGCAATTCCAAAATAAAAAAAGAGAACTTGCATTAAATTACTATGACAATATGCAAATATGCTTTTTAAATTATCCAATTACATTTAAATTAGTCTCGGGCTTTATGTATGGTTTCAACATTGGGCATTTTTACATATTGTACATTTTAATAAATATATACATATTTCATTCTATGCGGGTCTTGGTGTGTTCAGGTCTTTTCCCGTGTAAGATTGAGAGTATCTTGGCGACGTTTCGATGAGGTCCCACTCTCCATCTTCAGGCTGGTGCTTATGGCTTCGCGCTTGTGTGAGCAAAAAAAGCCAACCAATCTGCAAACATCAACTCTATCAACCAATCAAGAAATAACAATACAGCCAACCTCCCCACCAGTATTTATAGAGATGGCAGCTCTTTGGTCGCGCTTTGGTCGCACAAGCACGAAGCCGAAAGCACTAGCCTGAAGATGGCGAGTGAGACCTCATCAAAACGTCACCAAGATACTCTCAATCTTACACGGGAAAAGACCCGAACACGCCAAGACCTGCATACCTGTACCCGTGAAATCTAGAAAAACAAATTTCATTATATATATATATATATGTATGTATGGCCTTCGGCTTTGTTCGGGTATTTTCCCACGTCATTGTAGTTGTTCTTTTAAAGTTGTAGCAACGTTTCAGCAGAATCTCTTCTGCCATCATCAGGCTTCTGTATTGTGTCCGTCTGTGAGTCAGACTTTTACAGTGGTTTCAGATTTAAATTTGGGGCAGCCTATTGCGCACAAACAGATCCCCCCTAATACCTCCAGCTCAAACACATCCCAACCAGGCACCCAGATGAAACCCAGCTTCCTAACTAATGATAGCCGTCCATTTACCCGAAGCCAAGCTGCACTAAAAGCCTCCATTAAAGTAACACAATGCTGCCAGCCAATCAAGATACAAAAAGAGCCAAAAAACAGACAGAAGATATCAGAGACACCCATCAAGCAGAACACAGCAAACTCCGAGACCAATAAACACAGACCAAGACTCCCAACCAATCAGGATGAAGAAAAAACCATTCTGGCACAGCAATAGGCTGCCCCAAATTTAAATCTGAAACCACTGTAAAAGTCTGACTCACAGACGGACACAATACAGAAGCCTGATGATGGCAGATGAGATTCTGCTGAAACGTTGCTACAACTTTAAAAGAACAACTACAATGATGTGGGAAAATACCAGAACAAAGTGTGACTCACAGACGGACACAATACAGAAGCCTAATGATGGCAGATGAGATTCTGCTGAAACGTTGCTACAACTTTAAAAGCACCACTACTATGACGTGGGAAAATACCCGAACAAAGCTGAAGGCCATACATATAGTCACTAAACAGCAATTGTTAACCAAGGTTTATCTGTACTTGGATCTTATCAAGAACAGAACTACTCAATCCAGCACAATGTAGAGACCTGGCCATAGATAGATAGATAGATAGATAGATAGATAGATAGATAGATAGATAGATAGATAGATAGATATCTAATCTATATCTATCTATCTAGATAGATAGATAGATAGATAGATAGATATAGATAGATAGATAGATAGATAAATAGATAGATAGATTAGATAGATATAAGATATAGATAGATATTTATATCTATATCTATATCTATATCTATATCTATATCTATAACTAATCTAGATCTATCTATCTATCATCTATCTATCTATCTATCTATCTATCTATGATATAGATAGATAGATAGATAGATGATAGATAGATAGATAGATGATATAGATATAGATAGATAGATAGATAGATAGATAGATATGGCACCAAAACCCTGGCCACTATGGAAAACCCTAGCCACAGAGTCATCAGAGAAGCCATAGAGATTGAAAAAAGACCAGAAAGCATGAACAGAAGAGATGATTCCACCAGGCTGTCAATCATTTGGAAGCCTGCACTCACAAACAAAAAAATCTCCACACCACAAGCCAGGCAAACACCTGGGCACAAACAGATCCCCCCTGATACCTCCAGCTCAAACACACCCCAACCAGGCACCCAGATGAAACCCAGCTTCCTAACTAATGATAGCCGTCCATTTACCCGAAGCCAAGCTGCACTAAAAGCCTCCATTAAAGTAACACAATGCTGCCAGCCAATCAAGATACAAAAAGAGCCAAAAAACAGACAGAAGATATCAGAGACACCCATCAAGCAGAACACAGCAAACTCCGAGACCAATAAACACAGACCAAGACTCCCAACCAATCAGGATGAAGAAAAAACCATTCTGGCACAGCAATAGGCTGCCCCAAATTTAAATCTGAAACCACTGTAAAAGTCTGACCCACAGACGGACACAATACAGAAGCCTGATGATGGCAGATGAGATTCTGCTGAAACGTTGCTACAACTTTAAAAGAACAACTACAATGATGTGGGAGAATACCCGAACCAAGCCGAACACCATACATGTAAGTACCCGCGAAAACTTAAGAAAACATAGATAGATAGATAGATAGATAGATAGATAGATAGATAGATAGATA